ACCTATTAAGCGTATACAATTTCTTGAGGATAGTCCATATGAGACTTTGTTCTAACATTAATTAGAACCTCCCCTCCCTTGTGCCCCCTCCCTGGCGCAAGTGGACGATGGGATTGATCCCCTAGATTAGTCGATCCAATGGGTTGGATACCGAGTTATTAAACAAAAAAAGTTATGTGTACAGTGTAGAAATCCCTTTAGTATATGTAACAAGCTTTTTACATATATTTTTGGTAATTTATCTTATTTTTGTAATAAATCTTACATAAACTTCTAGTAGAGTTACGATAATTTGTGTTAATTCATTTTTTAACCACAAATTTTCATAATTGTATCAGAAAATTAAGTAACATTTATCACAAAAAATACTTTATATTTACTGAGAAATACGTAAGATGGTACACATGGTACACCTCTTCATAAAAAATGTGTACCAAAGGGATTCGCCTATACTATATGTCTGATGTTGGGTTGTTGCATAATGGTATATATGTATAAAAAAATTCTAGAGGCATTTATTCATAAATCACTCTTCACCTTCTTATGTTTCACTTAGTTTAAATTATTTTCTTATGTTCCAATAAGTCTTGTGGGTGACATTGTTACCAGAATACCCCTAATAATAATTGGGGGTTTCAAAATAGAAGAGGTTTCTCTCCAGTACAAATCGAATTTGAGGGTATTATTAGGCCTCCATGGCCTTACCACAGAATGCGCATCAATAATCCAAATCATTCAATGTGTAGAACTCGTCGAGTTCTTCATTCCTGCAAAAAATCTCATTGATCGGATATCGGTAGCAATTTAATCAAATCACTTTTGGGTCAACGGTAAATATAAAATTAATTATTAACACAAATGAGATTTGATTAAGTGGCTATTGATGTCCGATTAATGTGATTTTTTACAGGGATGAAATACTCGACGAGTTTAACATATTGAACGGTTTGATTATTAATAGGGCTCCGTGGTGACCCTACGGAGGGCCAACTATAGCGATTCTGGTTTAGAACCGATCCATTTTGTATCCTGGACTCAAGTTTCATTGTTTGGTGTTGTTGTGTGTGTCATATTTCCCCCTATTTCTCCTGGAGTTTGAATTTTGGAGTGTCTTGGATGTGTTTGGAACAGGTTGGTTACTCGTTGGTTCAAACTGTTGTTGTCCATAATTTTATCTCTTCACTTGAATAAAGCTTCTAGCGCTCGAGCGAGCTTTATGAACTCCCAGTACTTTTGCAGGCCTGCAAAGATATTGGGGAGGTAGTGTTCTTCACTCGAGCGAGACTTCTTGTGTTTTAGCGAGCTGCTTGTATATCAGTTCGTAGCAATACCTTTTTACATCACCTTTTCGTATCTTTTTCTCTCAAAATCCTAGATCAACCCTCTCTCTCTCTCTCTCTCTCTAAAATCCAACTTCTCTCTACAAATACACCTAGATTCAAGGATCTCTCTACCGTACTCTCTTTGATAAAAAGATAGAGCATTCTGGGGGCTCTCATTTGATCCAAATAAAGCTTGGTTTCGGTGCCTTTGAAGTTCCTTCATTTTTTCCTTGGTCTTCTAAGCTTGATGTAGGGGCTTTCTATACTCTTCTATGAGTTTTAACTTAGTCATTTGTTGATGTATAAAGAATGTTGGACTATTGGGATGATTTTGAACAAACCTAGGGTTTTGGTTTAAAATCAAAAGGGGGGCTTTCAAATAAAGCTATGGAAATGGTTATGGGTGTAGATACGAGGAGGTATTGTGTTAAATTTGTTGATTTTGACACTTGGAATGGACTTTGGAAAGATGGGAGTTTTTCCCTAAAAATGTCTCAAATAGTTATTTCGTATAAATAAATGAAATTGGTATTGGGAATATGAAATTGAATGAATGTTTATATGAATGACGGAGTTGGTTGTGTATTATTTCTCATCTATGAAAATTTGGATAGTTTTTCTGTTTTGTAGATTATATATCTGTTTAGAAATATCTGTTTTGGGCTATCGATGGAGGATAGCTATGATTGTTATAGAAATTGTATGAGGATTAGGTGAATTGAAACTAATCTTTTATTGGTTGTCATTGAATATGGTTGTACCTTAATACATTGTATATGTATGATGTTTGAGAGGAGAAAGGGGATGTACTCCATGGTTGGGAGAAGAAAGGGGATGGACTCCAGTAAATTAAGTTGGCCTGTGTCTCCAGGGTAAAAGTTTTGAAAATCGTGCATATACATGGGTATCGATTCCCGCGGACGAAATTTTTGTAAAATGGCAAATAGATGTGTTTGTATGATAACTATATTGATTAGAGACCCATTGAGTTATAACCTCAGTTTGGTTGATGGAATGAAATGGACAGGATTAATAAATTGAGATTTGAAGCTTCGCGTCGAATGATTTTGGAAAGGAGTTGTAACTGATTTTAATCACGGGCATTGTATATGCATATCATACTCATATCTTCGTTATGATTCATATATTGTGTTAGATTGCTCCTATTGAGCTTTGGCTCACTCTATTTGGGAAAACCATTTTCAGGTGCTGGTGATATGTCTCCACCAAGGACTTAGCTTAGGAAGACTATGGAGCTTAAGGCTCAGTTTTGTTACTTTTGTATTCAATGTTCGTATATCCAAAGGGTTTTAAATGAATTGGACTAAAAGTCTGCTTTTGTTGTAACCAAGAACTGCCTTGCGAAGTTGTAAGCCTTTTGGGCATTTGAATAGTTTAACTTTCATTCCTTTTACTACCTGTAACACATGTTGTAGATTCAGGATGAATGATTTATGAATGTATATTGCATGTGTCACATTTTGTAATTCTGATTAATGAAAGTCTATTATTTCCTTTATGTCATTTTGTACTAGTTGTTCAGAGTTGAATCATTATAATTATTTTGGGGGCGTTACACCAACAATACCCTCAAGTTAGGATTCCCAATTGGAGAGTACCAGTGCCCTTTGAAAAAATATTTCCCAACATTTATTAACACTTGGTTAAGGTTGTCTCAAAAATCAACATAAATGGCATTCCTCTACTTTTCAACTAATAAAAAAGAATTAATTATACTGACCTCCCTTGAGGTTTGTTGAAATTACAAACATCTCCCTTAAATTTTCTAAAATTATATACGACATTTTGACTTAACCTTGTAAATGAAAATAATCATTTTACTAAATCACCCTTTAGTTCAAGCGACTAGACATACAAAACATCTCATTGCATTTGGATTACTGCATAATGGTCATTTATGTATAATGCAGTAAGGTAACGACATGGTTGGGTAGCTAATGGGTTGGCCTAATGGTAAAGATTTGGGACTAGTGAGTGTACTCCCTCCAAGGAATCAAGTTCTAAACCCTTTAACTGTAAACAATTTCTTGAGGATAGTCCGTATGAGACTTTGTCGTAACTTGAATTAGAATCCCCCGCAAGTGGACAATGGGTATGATCCCCTAGATTAGTAGTTGGTCCAATTGGTTGGATACTGAGTTATTTAGAAAAAAAAAAAAAGAAGTTATGTGTACAATGTGGAAATCCCTTCAGTATATGTAACAAGCCTGTTACATATTTTTTTGGTATAATCTTATTTTTGTGGTAAATCTTACATAAACTTCTAGTAGTGTTACGATAATTTGGGGTTAATTAATTTTTTAACCACAAATTTTCATAATTCTATCATAGAATTAAGTAACATTTATCACAAAAAATAGGTTAATTTAAATTCAAACCTATTTGGATGAGCCACTCAGGATATATATCTATCATATCATGATATGGATAGATGATATAGATATCAGATATTATCTCATTTAACCAATGGATAAATGAGATAAAAATAATATATATCTGATATATGGTTATGGGTAACCAAGAGAGAAACAACGTATGTTTTGTTTCTACCCATGATACTGACTCTCTCCCAAAATAACGATCAAAATCATTTTGCATTGTGGTTTGTGTGGGTGATATTCACCATTGTAATATCACCCCACTGCTGGGATTGATTGATTGAGTATGGAAGCACGTGATTTATCCACGAGGTTTTAGATCAAACGAGGTATGATCTAAACACTTTATTCCGCTGCATGTTTTGTGTTTTGATTTACATCTTATTTTTGTGGTAAATCTTACATAAACTTCTAGTAGTGTTACGATAATTTGGGGTTAATTAATTTTTTACCCACAAATTTTCATAATTCTATCATAGAATTAAGTAACATTTATCACAAAAAATAGGTTATAGTTACTAAAAAAAATACGTAAGAAGGTATTTATGGTACACCTTTTCATAAAAAATGTGTACCAAAGGGATTCCCCTACACTATATGTTTGATGTTGAGTTGCTGCATAATGGTATATATGTATGAAAAACTCTAGAAGCATTTATTCATAAATCCCTCTTCACCTACTTATGTTTCACTTAATTTAAAATATTTTTTTCTTATGTTCCAATAAATCCTATGAGTGACATTGTTACCAAAATGCCCGTAATAATAACTGGGGGTTCTGAAAAAAATGAAGGCTTCTCTCTAGTGTAAATTAGATTCGAGGGTGTTATTGGGCCTTCGTAGGCCGACCACGGAACCTACATCAATGATCCAAACCGTGCAATGTGTATAACTCGTCAAGTGCTTCATCCCTGCAAAAAATCATATTGATTGGATATTGGTAGCCACTTGATCAGATCACTTTTGTGTTAACGATAAATATGATTTTTAAAATAGCACTACTAGAAAAGAGAGTATTGGGCACATAACTTTTTTCGATGGTTTGAAAATCGTCGTAAAAACATGGTTTTTGCGATGGTAAATGGCACTGTTGTCAAATAATTTTTTTTGCGACGAAAACTTCAAGACCGTGGCAAAAATAGTATTTTACGCGATGATTTCTCCCCCGTCGTTTTTTTTTTTTTTTTTTTGTGATTGTTTATTTTGTTTTGCGATGCCATTTATTCTTCCGTCATAAAAACTTTTATTTTTGCTTCCTGTGCCTTCCTCTTTGCCCTGTATTCCATACCCTTTTAGTATCCTCTTCTCAGATCAACCAAAAAAAAAAAAACCCTGTCTGTCTTCTCAAGTCACCATTCTCTGTCTAACTAGAGCTTCCAGTTGTCACAGCCCCAACAACACCATCGTCGGAAGAGGTAACCCTACTCTCATCTCCTTTTCTTTCTTCTCACACTCGCTCATACAAACCCTCACAATCTCTCTCTCTTGCTCTCGCTCTCGCGTTAGCCTCACAGGCTGTCTATAGCAGCGGTGGCGGCGACTTCCTACGGGTTCTCCCCCTGGCATCCAGGTATACCTCTCATCTTCTCTCCTCTGCTTTCCTCTGCTGTTCTCTCCTCTTTTTCTCTTCTTTTTCCTTCATTGGAATCAAACCCTCTTCATTGGATTTAACTAAATAAAAATAAATAAATCAACCCAAAACATCAGTTTTAAAAAAAATTAGGTTTTGATCTCAATTGAAAGCGAGAAACAGGTGGTTGTTCTGGATCATTTAGATTTTCCCATGAGGTGTACTGTGGATATAACCTCATAAATCGCCTACCCCAATCTCTGCAAGTATACATTTTAATTACACAAAGCCTCATGGAAGCTAAAGCTTCACATATTTTTCAGTAATATAAGCATTTTAATACTTAACAAAAATCAAAACTTTGAAACATATAACAAACACTGTTAAAATAAATTGACAACTTAATAACAAAAAAATAATAAAATAAAAACATGCCTCTCTTGGAGTGAGGGAAATTCAGTGAATATTCTACCTGAAACGCCAACGCTGAATCATTCAACACTAATAGAATTGGTGTTCCAATGCCAATTCTCTAGTTAGGCTCGGTACTGTTGCATATTTTTTATGTAATCTGAATGTTAACTCCTTGCCGTTTGTCTTCCATGAAAATTTGATTTGAAATGTGATTTTGTGGGAGATTATTAGAATTTAGCCAAATAGTTTTGGCCGAGTGAATTGAGATGATGCAATGAAGAAATACTTTATGCTTTTAAAATAGGAATTTACTAGGAATTTTATGTCTATATCAAAATTGAGAACTTGGGAGAAGATGACAATCAATAATCTTTTTCACTGAGTTAATGTTAAATTTTCTAGAGGAAACAGAACATAGAAAGTATTTAATTACAAAATTTGTGGTTCATTGAATTATTGTGAAATTTAGTTAGATTTAACAATAGTGAATTGAGATGATGCAATGAAGAAATACTTTATGCTTTTAAAATAGGAATTTACTAGGAATTTTATGTCTATATCAAAATTGAGAACTTGGGAGAAGATGACAATCAATAATCTTTTTCACTGAGTTAATGTTAAATTTTCTAGAGGAAACAGAATATAGTAAGTATTTAATTACAAAATTTGTGGTTCATTGAATTATTGTTAAATTTAGTTAGATTTAACAATAAGAAGAAGAATAGAGAAGAAAAGAGAAATTGTATGCTGGAATGGGAAGAGAGAATGAATTAGGATTCTCTCCATCATCCGCTTGTATTAATATTAAATTGGTAACTACAAATACACTTCCAAGTTTACATAACACGTAATACTTATCATGCCCAACTTGCAAATAATGGTGTGAAAATCCTTACTACCAAGCCTTTTAGTGAATACATCTTCTAACTGACATACAAATCAAAACCTTGCTCAACTTTTTCTTAATAAATTGTCTGTCAACTTCAATATTCTTGGTTCTATCATGTTGAACTATATTATGAGCGATGCTGATGGAATCGTATTGAGAAAAACCATAAACAACATTCGAGAAATAAAAGAAATCCATAAAGCTTCATTTAAGCTCTAATTACCTCAGCTGCTACCTCAAGAGGCTCGTCAACAGGCCTTTCCATTTTCACTCCAACATCCTCCGTAGAGTAGTCACCATGGACCTCCATTAACTTGCCAAGATCAAGCTTGGGAGCTTTCAAGAGCTTGACTTTCCGAATGAAGACATTCTGTAGAGGGTAGATGCTTGAAGTTGCCTTCTCAATCTCCCTACCAATTGATTTAGGAATAAACTTCTGGACCAAATCCTTCAGATCACAAGATTGTGTTTGGTTTACCATGATCACAATATAGATCTTTCAGTAAAACCTAGAACCACATAAGCTCCCAAATTCGATGAGCCACATAAGCTGCCACGTAACCTCACAATATAGACCTTTTAATAGTTTCATGAAACTTCTGATTTTTAATGAAAAATTAAGTAGTTTTTATTGGTTCAATGCATCTCAAATCATGAACAACTTTGCTTATATTGACAAATTTATATTTGTAATTGCAGTACGTCCTAAGAAATTTGCTAAAATAATATTCTTTTTTCTTGTTTGTTGGGTTCATTTAACAGTTTTTTTTTCTTATCATTATTTTATTGACAATTTCTTGCAAAACCGATTACTTGTAATGAATTACATATATGATGGAACCAATAATAACATATGGGTTAAGAACAATTTTAATTTGAAAGATTACTCAATTAATGATATTCATGCCAATCTGTATCAAGTGAGAATTGGCAACTAAATCATAAAACTAAGGCAGCAGTGGGAGTGTTGGTTGCTGTTTTGTTCTGTTAATGCTGGTGTTGTTTTCTTTTTATTATTTTCTGTTGGTGTCTTGCCCATGTTTAGTGTGTCAACCTAGTTGAGATATGTTACACTAGCAATGATGCAATGTTATCACCCAAGTACTAGATTTGAAAACAATTAAAATTTGCAGATGTTATAATAGTGGTTAGTGTTTCGATAATGATACTTCTCCAACTCCGTCAACGTTCACGCATTTCCTAGCTATCCCAAACATGCAATTTCCAGCACATTCTGTATTGAATAATTGCATACCATAGCAAATAATAATGCCTTTTGTCTTGAGTGCAATTCTATAGCACAATAAATGTGTTCTTTAATGCTATCGACTAATCTCTTTTCTCATCTGTCTCTTTCTATCCGTGCAGCTGTAACAGCTTTAATAAAAGACCCTATTCTATCCTTTTACAATTGTTTGAGGAGCAGAAACTAACAGAATAGCAATGATAAAAATTTGAGAAGTAGAGCTAAAGACACAAATATATTATATAAATTTTATTTAGAAGGATGTATTATTTTTGAAATTCAAAGTCAATCTTAAATGGATGCTTTTATTTAAAAAAATTGCAATTTAATCACATTTGTAGTGATGCATTTTTTTTTTTTTTTTTTTTTTTATCAGCATTGGATTTATAGTGATGCATTTAGAAGTGGACCCATTAAGAATTTTTGATAAACTCTTGTTCATATACTTGTATTTCATTTTATTTATTTGTTTAGTTTTTATGTTGGTAACAAAAATATAAAAAATTAAGCAGAGTTCATAAGATGCATCATATTTCGAGAAGTGATGCTAAATTTTGTGAACAAAAACTACTGATATTCTTTAGACTTTGTATCTCATGAAACATGAAATTGATGGAAAATGTGGTGTCTGATTCATGAGATGGTGGGTACAAATTACAACCCTTGGTATAATCCTTGCATGGTGAGGCCTTAGTAAATAGTCCCTAGAATGGGAGTCATACGGGTTACCTTCTTGCTAGTTAATTTTGAGTCCGATTTTATTTACACTTGTTAATATATGTGAAGAAAATAGACTTTGATTGGTTAAAATAGTGGAGTTTTTCATTTTAAATGGGTCTATTATACTTTAAATAGAATGCATCATACTGTTTTAACTAAACACAATGTGTGTTTTGTTCATCGATTATTATATGACTGCATGATATTTGGTAACATTTTTTCTATACTTATTAGTTACTCATGCCTTAATTTCTGTTGAGACTCAATTCATTTTAATGGATAGGTATGCATTTCTGATGTAGGAATTATTTAGAATTGTTGTGATGGCTAATTAATATACATGTTTATATGTACAGAATATATATTTAGGAGAAGTAAACAAAATGGACTAGAATTGGATTGATTTGCCAAATAGGATGTTGAGAGAATATATGAATAGGATCGACCGATTTCTAGTGTTTGCATACACCAATAGGGCTACAGGTTTGATGATTTGTTGTCCATGTAGGAAATGCGAGAATCGCTATCATCTTGTCTGAGATAGTGTGCGAGAGCACTTGATTTCAAATGGCTTTCTAAATAAAGACAAACATTGGATTAATCATGGAGAGTCGTATACTTCTGTGCATAGTAACTGAGCTAATGAAGCCTTAGTGAATGAAAACATTAAGGATGATATGGTTGGAATGATACATGATGTTACTGGTATTCCACTTCCTAGTACAGATGTTGTGGGTGAAGAACCATAGGCACCAACTAATCCCAATGTAGCAGAACGACTTGCAACTGATTCGTAGTTAGGTCCAGACATAAAGACTGCAAATTATTTCAAACTTTTAGAGGATGCTTAGAGTGAATTGTATTTGGGTTGTCAGAAGTTCACATCTTTGTTGTTCATTGTTGACTTTTACATATGAAGGTGCTAAATCGGTGGAGTGACACTTTTGTTACCATGTTACTTGAGTTGTTGAATGAAGCTTTCCCTGAGGGTGCAAAACTTCTTGATTCTTACTATAAAGCTCAAAAGATTACTACAGATTTGGGCTTCACATATGAGACGTGGGATGCATGCCCTAATAGTTGTATGTTGTTCTAAAATGAGTACATCAATCTTGATGAATGTGTCAAATGCAAAGTTCTAGTTGGAAACAAAATGGAGCTAATAGTTCAAATGTTCCTCATGGAGGCGGTAAATGGATACCCTTTAAATAGATGAGGTATTTCCCTTTGAAGCAAAGATTGCAAAGGTTGTTTATGTCGTCCAAAATGGCCAAGCACATGAGATGGCATGCAGAGGATCGACAAGATGATGGTGTCTTAAGACATCCTGCTGACTCCCTTGCATGGAAAGATTTTGACCGTCGAAATACTAACGTTGCGGATGATTGTCGAAGTGTAAGGCTTGGGTTAGCATCTGATGGTTTTAACCTAATTAGATCGATGAACATAGTTCATAGCACCTAGCTTGTTGTTCTCATTCTATACAACTTACTACCATGGATGTGCATGAAACAGCCATTTTTGATTTTGTCTACACTTATCAATGGCCCAAAACGACCTGGTGACAAAATTGATGTGTATATGCAACCGTTGATTGAGGAGTTAAAGGAACTATGGACTGACGGTGTCTCTACATTTGATGCATCAACAAATCAAATGTTTCAAATGCATGCAGCTTTGTTATGGATAATTAGTGATTTTCCAGCATATGGAACTTGTCAGGATGGAGCACGAAAGGAGAATATGCATGTCCATGTTGCAATAAGGAAACTAGATCGTGTTGGTTGAAACATGGTAGGAAACATTCATATTTAGGTCATCACAGATTCCTACCTAATGGTCATAAATTTCGAAAGGATATAGTATCATTTGGTGGTACTCGGGAATTGATTCTCAAACTGAGATTGTTATCTGTATCAGAGATTTTGCTACAACTAGAATCTGAGGGTATCTTAACCCAATACAGAATGGGTGACCTTAAAGAGAGGCATAGGATATTGGGAGCACAATCCAATAAGACATGACCTCGATATGATGCATATAGAGAAGAATGTGTGTGACAATGTATTGTGGACAATACTAGGGGTTGCAGGAAAATCTAAGGATAATGTCAATGCTCGGCACGATTTGCAAGAAATGAATATTAGAAAACCCCTACACTTGTGGTCAAGAGGGTCGAACAAAGCTTGTTTGCCACCAGCACAATTCACAATGACCAAGGATGAGAAGTATTTATTCTTGTAAATGCTTAAGGAAGTTAGAGTTCTTGATGGGTATTCATCCAATATCTCTCGTTGTGTACGATTATAGGATAGAAACATTTTGAGTTTAAAGAGCCATGATAGTCATATTCTGATACAACAACTTATTCCTTGGGGTGTACGAGGATTGTTGCCTAAGAGTGTTGTTCAAACCTTGATTGAATTGAGTAATTTATTCAGACAATTGTGTTCCAAAATAAATCGTCAAATAGATCTAGAATATATCCAAGGTCGTATAGCACTAAAATTTTGTCATTTGGAGAAAATATTTCCACTAGCTTTTTTCTTTAATATAATGGAGCAACTGTCTATACACCTAGTTGATGAAGCATTGGTGGCTGGAGCAATTCAATTTCGATGGATGTATCCAATTGAGAGATATCTGCTTACCTTGAAGCAATATGTACGTAATCAGGCTCATCCGAAAGGTTCAATGGCTAAAGGTTATCTTATGGATGAATGCATGAATTTTTGCGCTGAATATCTGAATGATGTGGAAACTAAATTGAATCAGTCTATAAGGAACTACAATGGTGTGGATATGGGTCGTGTTGTTGGTGAGACCACAACTTTCAACCTTGGTCATACTTGTCATCGATATATCTTGTTTAATACGAGATCAGTTGAACCATTCCTAAAGTAGGTACCTCTTACTCAATATTTGCCAAGTTTTTTTCCCCTCCTTACATTTCAAATAGTAATTTGTAATTGATAAGTTTTCAACTTATATAGGAAACACCATGAAGTACTTAAGATAAAAATGCTTTGTGCTGATGATCATCAACTCCAAAGTGAACATTTCAAAACATTTCACACTTAGTTTAAAGAACACATATGTATGGACAAATCTAGCTATATATTATAACTTAGGTTGATTTGCGTTTTGAATTTTCTTTCATGTTTTAAATAGGTTCAGTTTTTGCAAAGGACTGATAATGCCACATTTTCTGAAGAGATTAATACATTGGCAAATGGTCCTCATAACGGTGCAAGAAGGTTCATCGATTAGATAGCTAATCGGTTCTGTTTTAGAGTCAAGGCTATGGATCACCGTCGAGCCAATCAAAATTCTGCTGTAGCTTTGAAAGCAGTTACTATCAGTTAAGCTAATTGAAAAGACAAAAATCCTTGTGTGGGGGCTGTGTACTATTATGGGCAAGTGATAGATATCATTAAAATCCATTACACCAATACAATGAAATATGTATTGTTCAAGTGTGACTAGATTGACAATGTTCAAGGGAAGAAAGAAGATAATTTCAAGTTCACGTTGATTAATTTCAACCATTTGTTGTACCGAGATGCTCAAATCACCAATGAAACTTTCATTTTGGCATCCCAAGCTGAGCAAGTTTGGTATGTTGTAGATCCTATAGCACCAGATTGGCAAGTGGTTATGAAGATGTCTCAAAGGGGTTTATTTGATATGTATTCTGCTGATCTAGAAACTAAGCCATATATGAGTCAACAATTAGAAGAAAATATAATGGTCCGTGATGAAGAAGTTGGTTAGGTGAGGGAAGTTACAGAAGGAGAAACTGTTGATGTTGGAATGAGAGAGAATTAAGATATTTTGTAATAATTTTTGGGATTTTGTAATGAGACAATAAATTGTCATGCTTTAATGAACTACATATTTGGGCATGTTACATTATTTAACAATTTTATGTGCTTCCAATTTATTCATTATGTTTGTATTGTATTTACATTATTAACTCCAAACTATTCTATATATTTTCAATTGTATTTCTTACAAATTGTTATGGCATGGAAGAGGAAGCTTAATCACCCCTCTTGCATTATGGCTGATGTTTTGCGTATGCAGACACAATCACCACCATCACAGCCACCGATACAGCCACCACCACCATCACAACTACTAATACAGCCACCACCGTCATCATAGCTACTGATACATCCACCACCATCATCACAATTGTCATAATCACAACCACTGATACATCCACAACCATCATCACAATTGTCTCGACCAACGTCGTCTTCATAGGCCACCACAGATATACAAATTTGTTATGTACTTCAATTATATTAATTAAATTATTTCATTTTCACTATACATAATTTGGGTAATTTCATATGCTAGGACCGAAAACTTCTTCACATCCCACCTCAGGTACAAGAATATGTTATGTATTTAATTAATGCTTTAATTTATATGTTGTTTATTATATTCTTATATAATTTGTTTATTCTTATAATGTGTTCCAAATCCAGCGACTAATTTACAAGCTAACTCAGGTAGAACAAATGGTTATGTATCTAATTACATTGATTCAACTACAAGTTATTTATTATCAATTTTTATAATTTGTAATTTTTTTTTCATATTGTTCTTCACACGCCCTACAGTTTCTTTATCTTCCACCGAGGTTGAGGATTCGCGAAAGGCATTAAAGATTGGGGTACGGGCAAGAAGTTGGCCATTGATTTTGATGCTGGCTTTAATTCTATGGGAGATAATTTGTCTAAGTTAACTAGCCAACTTGGATTCATGGTATGTAATGGGAACATTGTTTCTCTTACGTACGTTGATTAGACCCAAGTGCCTATTGATGTCCTTAAGTCAATATGGGTAAACGTTACGATAAAAGCATATTTGGTAAATTGTTTAATTATATTATTAATTGAACTAACGATTTAAATTGTAGTGTAGGATAATTTACAAATTTGTCCGGAGGGGTACAAACCACGTTGCTTGAAAAAATGCAATGACTTGTGGAAGGATCACAAAAGCAAGATCAAGAATAAGTATTTTAAGCCATTTAAAGACCATCCTAATATCAAAGATATGGTGCCTCCGCAAATTGTTCCAGAACAGTGGTACGATCTTGTTGATTATTGGAAGACTAAAAAAGTAGAGGTATATAAAATAAGTTAATTACAAAGCATGTAGCTTTAGAAAAATTAATGACTTTATATACTTGTGACTTACATTTATGGAAGCTGTACAGGACATTGCAGTCCACAATGGTGGAAGTCGTTCCTTTCATTATATTAATCATATAACAGGATGTACTTCATTCACTCAGATTCAAAGGAAAGTATATACTATTTAAGTAAATATCAATATGCATGTAAATTACTTAGATAATAATTAATTTTTAAATTTTCAGATGATTGCTGAAGAGTTGCCCATGGATAAAATAAGTATTTGGAAACATACACATTTAGACACCCCATTTTTGACCGACCTTAAGACTCAGACGTCATTGATTGAGCGCTCGGTGATCGTGCATGTTTGTGCTCGTTTCAAGTTTCCGGAGTTTTCGGCTGAGTGCCTTGCCTCCGGGCATCTGAACTCTTTGTGTTTTGGCTTGGTTTGTGGACCATGCCTTGTTGACCTTGCTTGGAGGGAGAGAGAGGCATGTACGCCACTTTTCGTAGTCGTAGACTACTTTTCCCTCTTGTAGGCTAGTTTTCAGTTTTCGGAGCCTTCGGCCGAGCGCCTTGCCTCGGGACCTCTTACCGTTCTCCTTTTGGTCTGGTTTTTGGACCATGCCTTGTTGCCTTTGCCTAAAGGGAAACAAAGGCCTGTAGACTACCTTTTGTAGTCTTAGACTACTTTTCCGTCTCGTAGACCACTTTTTGTACTCGTAGACTAGTTTTCGGGGCTTCCAGCTGCGTGCTTTGTCCTGCGGACTTTTTTCTTGCTTCCTTTTTGGTTTGGTTTTGAACCAAATCTTGTTTTCCCTTTCCTGGAGGATGGCACAGGGTGTAGACCAGTTTCTCCCCCCTGTAGACCACTTTTCTTCCCTGTCAGCTAGTTTTTTAGTCGACCAGCTAGGGTGGGTGGTCTGTGGACCACCTAAAGTGGTCTGCAGCCATGCCACCACCTTCCTCTCTTTGTGCATACCAACTTTCCCCCCTTGCTGACTAGTTGTTCTCCCTGCAGACCACTTTTTATGGTTGGTCGACTAGCGGGATTGGTCGGTCGACCACTTCAACTGGTCAGCAGCTTTCCTGCACTTTTTGTAGATATTTTTCATGCCAGTTGTGCCAGCTGTTGGGCACAGAAAGCATCCTCCATACACATGTATGGAGGGATTGCTTGAAGCTCTTAGCTTGTTCAACAAGCTTGAAGCTTGGTTTTCTATATAAGGGAGCCTCCTCCCTCTTGCTTTAGGTTCAGAAAATTTGCATAGAGCTATACATATATCTCTATCTCTATATTTCATCCCTTCTCTCAGTATTTGTGCTTTAAAGTGTAGTTTTTTCACATTTTTGCACACAAACACCTACTCAAACACCACACTCTTGTTGCGGAAGTACTTGAGGGTCTCGCTTGGACTCAATAGCTGGTTTTAGCTCAGAAAAGTTGCGGGAGTTGTTGCCTTGTTCTTGGTCTTTAAGGGTAAGGTTCTAGTCCTTTTAAAAGCTTTGTTTTAATTGCTTAACTTAGCCATCTTTGCATGCTTATTTTGGCCTAGTTGTCAACTATAAAAAGTTTCATTTTCAAGTGCTTAAAGTGTTTGTTTGAGACCTCTTTCGTGTTGGGGCTGTTTCACCTCTTTGTATGTCTTATCTGCTAGGCCTTTGAGCCATCCCTTGAGGCTTTTGTTTTAGCCTTTGCATTGCCTTTCTACCACTGAATTCCAAAGGAATTTCAGTGGTGGAAAGTGTGTTTTGAGGTCTCAAATAGGAGGGGGTTGTCTCCCCTCCTCTTCTCTTGTTTGCTTGTGTTGATGGCTCATCAAAGTAGCATGTTTGTTAAGCTTGTTTTGGCTCTATCTCAGCCTATTTTTGGCCTTATTTCAGTATGGCATACCTCTGTTTTGGCTTAGTTTAGGCCACCCTTGCATGCTTTATACACTTGTAGTGTAATCCTTGCAAACTAGCCTTGTATGCTTAAGGTTATAGCTCATCTTGTATTGGTTCCATTTTAGTATGTTTTTGGTCATTATTTAACATGCCTTAACTCTGATTTTGGTTGGTAGAGTCATCTCTTGCTTGGTTTTTACACTTGTAGTGTAATACCCTTTGTTGGCCTAGTATGCTCCATGCTTCATGCCTCTAATCCTAGCTTGTGTTTGCTTTATCTCAGCATGTATTTGCTATTTTTTTTCCATGCTTAAGCTCTGTTTTAAGTGGTCTTGATCATTTGGACCTTGCTTTGTATAGCCATAGTTCATTCTTGCCCACTAGCTTTGTGTTTTGGGTCCACTAGCATGCATTGCTTAGGCTATTCACATGATTTAGCATCATTTGATACATGATTTCAGAGCATGTTTCAGTGTCATACACTCACTTAGGTGTCCTTGGCCTTTTGAGGCTTGCTTTGTATAGCTATAGTGCAAATGCCTATGCTAGCTTTTAGCTTTGAGCCTTCTAGCATGCTTCATTTGTGACATGTGCATGATTTGGCATCATTTAACATATTATTTCAAAGCATATAACATTGCCATGTTCTCATTCCTTTCACTCTTTGAGTGCTTTTAAGGGTTATGCCTTTGTGCCTCGCTTGTGGCCTAACTTGTGTGCATGCATGCCTAGACTTTTGAGCTCCTATCTCAGTATGTTTTGGTCTTTGTTTTGACCTAATTGAGCTCTGTCTATGGTTGGTTCAATCATTTGTGTCATGTATTACATGCCTCTTGCGTAGTCCATTTTGGTAGCCTTGTGCCTTAGGCCTTCTAGCATGCTATGCTTGTGTTGTTTGGATGATTTGGCATTGTTTCACACATGATTTCAGAGCATACAGTGTTGTCACACTTCCATGTTTGTCACTTCTTAATCACGTTTGAGAGTTGTGCTCTTATGTTTAGTTGATGGGCCAATGCATGAGCATGCATTAGCTTGCTTTTCATGCCATCATTTCAGAGTATTTTGGCCACTGTTTTGGCATGTATGAGGTTTGTTTAGGGTTGGGTTCATTCATTGAGCATTGCATTACATAGCCCTTGTGTTGTATCCTTTACTACCTTTCATGCTTGAGAACTCTAGCTTGACATGCTTACGTTATTTGCATTGTATTTGAAATGTTGTTGCATTGAATTATGTTTGGATTGGATGTTAATCCAAACGCGAGAAACGAGGGACGTTTCATACTTGAAGTGATGAAACGTGTCTCATTTCTCGGTCGCCGACCCTCTTGATCAAGCATGATAGAGGTTAAGGCTTTTATGTGTTATTTGTGCATTCATTGACATTGAATTGTGCAAACTTGGCTTCTCAGCCATCGTGCATTACGATGCTCGGTTGGTGGCCCGAGAGTTAAGTACCGCACTCCCTTGAGTTTAAGAAATGATAGGGAGGGTGGTTGTGCACACATACCTTGCAAATAGACTGTCGTGCCCCTTCTTGTTCTTTGTTGTAGCAAACTGGTGCTTGGCAGAATTTTCTGGTCGGCAGACCGGAAAAAGTAGCTAGCCGACCATTTTTTTTTGTCTGCAGCATGTTTAGGTGGTCTACAGGTGGTCTACACCACCCTTTTCTGGTCGGCAACCCTCCAGAAGATCCTCATGTTGGGGTAGAAGCTATCTGGAAGTTTGTGCAGTGTTTTGAAATCAAATGCAAACAGAGGCAAGTCAGGGCATAGTGATGGATTTCTGAGCGAGGCGATCGAGTATGCATGCACTTCTCGCCCCGAGGCTCCTTTTAACTATTTTACTTAGTTGCTTTACTTTAGCTAGTTTGTCGGTTTTGTACTTAATTAGTTAATGCGCTTAGCTAATCAATTTGTGTTGTAATAACTAATTAGTTAAATAGGATAGTTAATTAGTTTTGGTTTGTAATAGTTAGCTTAATTAGCGTAACTAGTTAGCTTATTATTCGGACCCTCCGTCGAGTGGGCAAATGTTGTAATAAACGTGCGTGTGTGTGATGCATGTCTTCTAACCCTATTTCTTTCTTCCTTTTATTTACCAGCTTTTGATGATTAGTTTTAGGGCATATTTCAATTAGCATCCTTATGCTTTGCATGCATGCATCATTCATTTGTCTTGTATGCACTGGGCTCGGTGCATCATTCAAATTGCATTGTATTTCAATTCCTATTTGAATACTTGTATCAAATTGTTTAATTCATATGCCATTCTAGACAGCCGAGCCTATTTTAGTTGCATTTTGCATGTGTTGCATTAGGCATCTTGTATAACTAGGATCGTGCATTGATTTCTAATTGGTTTCTGTTTTGGCTCGGAGTACTCTATTAGTGTTTACGCTTTAGCATACTGCATGAGATGTGTATGTTGCCATGTTAGCATGCTTGCCATGAGGCTATCTGCTTAAATGTTTAACTGCATGAATGCTTGTGGATGAAGGTTGGATTGCTTGAATTGCTGGGCTCGGTGCATCATTCAAATTGCATTGTATTTCAATTCCTATTTGAATACTTGTATCAAATTGTTTAATTCATATGCCATTCTAGACAGCCGAGCCTATTTTAGTTGCATTTTGCATGTGTTGCATTAGGCATCTTGTATAACTAGGATCGTGCATTGATTTCTAATTGGTTTCTGTTTTGGCTCGGAGTACTCTATGAGTGCTTACGCTTTAGCATACTGCATGAGATGTGTATGTTGCCATGTTAGCATGCTTGCCATGAGGCTATCTGCTTAAATGTTTAATTGCATGAATGCCTGTGGATGAAGGTTGGATTGCTTGAATTGGAACAATTCATCAAAATGTGCGTTTTAAGCCCACTTGAAGTGGCAAATCATCGTGTTTTCTAAGCCCACTTGAGGGTGGCAAATCCGCGTCTTAGCCTACTTGCGAGTAACACTTTCAAACCATTTTCGAAAAAACGAACATGAGATGTTTTGTTCCAAATCGAGTGATTTAGTCTATATTTGTATGCTGTGCGCATCACATAGTAAGCTAGTCTAATAAACCGGAATAAGAACATGTGTGTTTTAAAAAACAACATATCATGTTAGTAAAGGTCGATCTTTGATCGGGCGAGCGGGGGTGCTCATTTCAAGACCTTCTCCTCTCGTACCCAAGTTCCCATGCCGAGACAACTTTGGTGATGACAGACACGTGGCCTTAGGCACAAGTCAGGGTTTCCTAAATTTTCCAAAATAAAATATTTAGGTGGCGACTCTGAAATTTAGCAAAGTAGTCCATGTTTGGCCCTTTTTAATTAAAATCGATTTTTCAAAATGATTTGCCAGATTTGGACTCTTTGGTGATTTATCAGTCTTACATTGCACTTTGTGAGATTAGATTCAAAACCGTGACC